ATCTCTAGGGTCATCAACCCCGCTCTTTTGATCTAGAGTGTCAACATTTTCACGATCATTTGTTTTCGGTCTTGTAAAATTTGAGTCCACTCGTGATGCCACATCAGGAATTTTTCCAAGACTTGAGAGTTTGTCAAATTTTACATTAGACCCCTGATTCTGTAAGATTCCAGAAACAGCAGTTGTAAGCTTTCCACGAACATCTTCTGGCACAGCATCTTGCAAAGCTTTAATTAGTGTCTCTCCTTGATCCACAGCATTAAGCACCTGCAGATATTCAACATTATATGGCTTATCTCCCTGGGTCATTATATTCCTAAAAACAGATTCCTTGCATCGAACTTCAAGTTTGTATGACCACAAGCATAAGAACAAAATGGAAATACCTTCTTCTTCTGTTCATCTGACAGAGTATCAGGCATAGTCATATCAAGCATGTTCATAATCACTTGTGCAGTCTGCAGAACTTGTCCTCTTTCATCCTCAGAAGAGCTCGCTCCCTCTTGTACTACTGCATCAACAACAGCATTGGGTAGTCTCCCTACGTCATTATCCTCGTGTGGAAATCCTTTTGTCGGGAAATGTGGCTTTTCTATATCTTTCATAGATCTTGATTGAGCTGTGTCATTTGCCTGAAGCATCTTCACTGGAGGGTTTTTAGGATTTCGATTAGTCAAATCGAGGAGCTTGTCAACTTTCGTTCTATTTGAAGCTCTATTTTCCACCAGCTCTAACCCCTTTGAAGGGTTTATAGTGACATCAATATCTTTTAAAAGTGGATGTCGACCTTTTAGAAGTCCAAGCTCCACAGCTGTTAGCCACTGTAGAAAAGATATTCAGTTGCCATATAAGTGCGTCACAACCAAATTGTGCTAATATAGTTTACATTAAACGATAAGAACATAGTACCTCCAAAGCAAGGTGCTGGCACCAAGATAAGGTTGATATGTCAACCATAACATTGGCAAATGGTGAATATGCACAGAGAAGTAAGCTGGTATATGGGTTTTCTGCTATTCCACTCCGCGGGATAGAAAACAATGGGACTCTCCCATCATCATTCTGAAATTAAAAAATAGCAATTAAATTTGTTTGAAAACAATAAAAAATTCTACCGGGAAATTAGAAGTGTAGAAAGAAGAATAAACAACTGCAGCATAGTAGTACTGCTCTGATATCAAGTTTCTCAAGTTTCTTGATGGAGCTTCTTCCTAGTTCTTACACGCCGATATAAAATCAGTAAGGAATCGAAATGAAATGGAACCAAGACGTTTCTTTTTAATCTACCAACTACAAACCCTACCTTATGCAAATTCTAGACATCCAAAACAACGGAAAAAAAGCAGTATGTATAAACAATCTCTAGCTAGGATGTACAGGCTTAAAGACGGATATATGGTAACTGACAAAATAAAGCAAAGACGTAGCTCAAAAATGTAAAGGTTAAGCTACGGGTCATACATGGATATACATCTAAGAACACAATGGTAATATAATGCAAAAGTGCGTCGTAGATTCCCACCAGCATGTTATAGACGTATAGCTTCCATATATAGCGAAATTCTAAATGTTGAATCAAGTGATAACAATATTTATGTGTACATATAGAATAAAATCCAAAAGACGGCCGATCAATGTGGATAAATGAAAGAATTTAATATAAAACTTCATTAAAATCAAAGAAACTCATCTTGACTTCATTTTCAGTCCATAATTTGAATTGAGCAGAAGAACATGATTAATAAATCAGATAAATAAACATCTAAAAGAAGTAGGAACGATTTTCGAATTTCATCTCTAATTACTAGAGCTACCTCCTTATGAAATATTAAATGGTAACCCAATATGTCTACATGTACCTAAACAATCCTACAATCATATCCAATACATCAACGTATATTTCTATTATTCTCCTTCCAAATATTCCAAAAAGCTATTGACATTCACAACATACGAAATTCAATGCAATATCTGATCAATTTTTTAAGAGTATTGAGCATCAGAAATATCTAGTGTGTAAGAAATTACTAATTAATAACTAACACAATCTCCACAGAGCCATTAAATTTATTAGCATAGAGGCAGCATAGCATGAGAGAGAGAGAGAGAGAGAGAACCTGTATAAAAAGAACTGGAACTTTCACCCGTCCAACCACATCTCGCGTACTAGAATTTTCATAGAAGTCTTCAATGGTATCAAATCCATAAGAAACCATAGAAATTGCTCTCTCAAACTCCCGAGTGGACGATGCAGATAAAGCTTTCTCAACATCAAATCCTTTTCCCCGACCATGAAATATTTCCTGAGATGATGATGCCGGGGTATTAGAATTACAAAGATGAAAGAATCAGTTCAATTTGTGATATACAAAATCCATTCGTTTTCAGTGCTTAGTTTCAGTTACAGGACAAAAGCTCTCTACAAGAAGCATGATCGTAAGTGTGTTTTCTTGAAGAAAAGAAGGAAAAAAAATGCTTAGTAGAAAAAATAACCTTGTTACGATGTAGTATCTCAATTAGGCCGTTGGTATGTCTGTGATCAAAATCTGTATGATAGACGGTGGACATCATGGCTTCCTCCAAGTCGAAAGGATTGTCTATGCATGTTGCTGCCGTAAGAGGCGTTTTCTCTCCAGATTCTGCTAAGTACTTTGTCAACATGTTTGCACCATACCCCCAGCCAACTCCCATTAATGTTGTCCACGGTCTTTTCTTGTTTATATAACGTACAGCTGTGGAGACATCATCGCTATCAGCAGCTGTAAATAACCTACATGAATGAAGTAGTTATAACGTTCTATTATCAGCTTGTTTTACCAGTCTAGGAATGAAAGAATCTACTTAGTTTGAAGTTAATTGAGAAAAGTAACATTATATTTAATTAACCAAGCCCACTAAAAGAACCGAATTTGTTGTAAAACTCAAAACTCATTACAGATTTAGGGATTGACAAGGCTAATATGAAATTTAAACATGAAAAAAAGTGTTATGACAATAAAGGGATTCTTTTTTCAACTCTGCGCCTAAGAAACCACACCCCCGAGTTTTGTGATTCTAAGCATTAAGAACCCAAGCAGACAGCTGGTGCCAATCTGAATATATATATATCATAAATGTAATTATAAAATGAAGCTCCATCTCCACCACAGCTTTGACTAGGAGACTTCCATTAAAAATAAGCAACAAATCAAAACCAAGCCCATTAAATGTGGACAGTGCAAATATACAAGACACATGAAGAATGAACAAAATGTTAAAAGAAAAGGAAAAAAGAAAAAACAGGTCAATAGATTCTGTTGAATAATTAATAAACAATAATGTGCATCATATCAAGTCTCTCTACGTCTTGATTAAACATGTCCATCTCCTAGTTATAAAGCCCAAAGAAGACTCGAAGATTCAATGTTCTGGTTGAAATGATTCCCTGCTGTTACAATTCTAGTATCATATCAAATTTTCTTCATGTATCACAACCCAAAGTAAGCAAGATATTCGTTCTGTAGTCATATAATTCACATGTCACCAAGCATACTGGTATTTTTATATGTTAAAGCATGGCATCATATAGAATTTAACATCAAAACCAGACATAAGCCGATTAGGCTTGCCTTATCCGAGGGTGGTTCATTCCAAGTACTATGACAATCCACTAAAGTTTTTAAGCTTGGGGATGCTTTGATCTGAAACTACTAATGTCGCCTCTGTATCTAAACACACACACACATGATTGCACCCAAAGTGACTTAAAGCCATATAATTTGTACTGAATTCGAAGAAACTAACCGCGCTGTTGTCAACGGAGAGCCGGCACATCCTCTTGGATTCATGACAACCGGGAAAATCCCTCTCCTCAAACAGTCGCAAACAAACGCCCTAATTTGCTTCTCACCACTGCCCTCTGCAGTTCCTGGAACAATCAACATCGTAGTATCCAACCCACGCTCCTCCTCGAAGACCAAATTCTCCGGCCAATCCAAGGACAAGGCTCCACCATCCTCCGCGCCAACACAAATCCTCTGATACACCAAATTCACGTCATCCTCACCATCTGTCCTCACCTGCTGAACCATTCTTCCACTGTTCAACTTCACGAAATGTCTGTCCTCCTTCACAAGCCTCTCATTCACATCCTCCAAGAACTCGCTCCCGGGGAAGCAAATCGAAGGGCACCGCAGCGTCACGAATCGATTGAAAGGCGTCGGGCTAGTGAACAAGATCCACTCCCCGATGTCGAAATCCGAATTCCTGGAAATTTTAGGGTTTGGAAGCGATTTATGGGTGACAGTGGAGAAAAAGAGGGCGAGGCCGGAGGCGAGGCCGAGGGTCGGGGCGATGTAATTGAGGGAGGTGGCTGAGTGGAAATGGGAGAGCAAGCTGTGGAGGAGGTCGCCGAAAGGTGATGGTTCGGAATGTAACTGGTTTCGGACTGTGAGAGGCTTCAGACGACGGCGTTTCCGAGCGCGATGGTAATGGCGGGATGGGATGGTCCGTCGGTGGAGAGCGGACGGTGGGAGCAAGAACTCGGCGTGCAGGGGCGCCAGGCTCATTTTCAGTAGGCGGTGGTGGAAGAAGAAATTTCCGGCGCTGAAAGAGGTTGTGTCGTGGTGGGTGAAGTGCAGCTTGTGTGCGGTGGAGATTGGTGATGAGGAGGTGGGGGATCGATCGGGGAAGCTAATGCATGAGCGACACTCTTTGACGGTTGAAATTTTTGGAACTCTCATAATCACCATTTTATTATATTATTATTATTATTATTATTATTATTATTATTAAAATAATTGGGTGAGGAGGAGACGAGTAGATCGGTAGTTCCTGCTGTGTAGTGCCGTTTGCGTTGGTGAACGGTTCTTTGCTTTTCCACTTTGCTATTCTAGCGAAGTCGTGCACGAGATGGAAACTTCTATCAATTGCTAGTATGAAATTGTTAAAAATTGTTTCCCTAAATTATCTCCTGAGATGCACAGCGATTTGTTTATTATTTTTTTTTAAAAAAAATTATTTTAATAAAACCTAAGCAATATAGTGCCCTCCCCACCAGACATCAACCCCAACGCCTGCATGACCAACAAAACGTCTACAGTGCGAATAGCCGAGAAGAGGCCTCAAGTTCTAGCCTCCAAACTGGACCCCCGATCTAAAAACTCCTCCAGGACTCGTGAAACTCGCCCAGGCCAGTCCCGACAAGCCTGGATCGAGCCCGATGCTCGCCGGGAGCGGAAGAGCTGGGACCGCCGGGAGGGAGGCTCACCTGGCATACGGGAAGCTAGGACTTGGCGGAGAGAAATTTAGGGATTTTCTAGATGGTTAGAGAGAGAAAAAAAATTGACTATCAATGATTCAGTTCTACCTTATATAAAAAGAAAGTACAATAAAATATGTATAAAAAAATATTTACATTATATTAATAATTAAAACTTATAAAAAATCAATATATGTACAAAGAATACAATATAAAATATGTATAGAAATGTAATTCCCGGAAGATAGAATTCATAGCAAACTGAAAGGTCGAAGGAGCATTACATAAACTAAACGGTATTACCAAATACTTATCGTGACCTTGGTGGGTGCGAAAAGTCGTCTTTGGGATGTCTTCCTCCGCAAATCCATTGTGGAATTCGGCTTCACTACTTGCGTCTGATTCCCCTTCTGACGAAGAATCGGAGTTGTACTTCCTCGCTTTCCTTGCTGCGTTTTGGAGCAACATCCTCTCGATCCTAGCAACCACTTGATTCGTCGATTGCACTTCCTCATTGATCGAACGTACGCTCTCCTCCAAACGATCAATTCTCTCTCGATTGGACATGGATACATGATCGGTTTATCTCAATGAAAGCACCAATGTTACGATCGTGTATCGAAATTAAAGAAAAATACGAAAAAGTGTAAACCCGCACTGGAATGGCCGTCGGTCGACACGAGATTTGGTGCTCAAACGAGCGTTTTTTGATTATGAAATTGCTTGAAAAAAAATAATACAAGTCTGAGTTCTTAAAGCTCTCAAAAACTACCAGTCATAACCTACGAATTTAGAAAAGAAAACTGAAAGATACTGCTATAACTGCATGGAACCGTCGTCCTGTACATTGGTGTCGCGGCGCGGCGATGTATCACGGCGTGGGGAGGATCGGCAGTCGCGGCGTGGCGTGCTTTCACTCCTGTGGTCTCTGTCATGCTGCGCGGCGTGGTGACTGGAAGCTCCGCGGCGTGGCAGCCTGTTGTCCCAAACTCAATGTTCGTCCGTGATGATGGCCGCGGCGTAGAGGTGGTGATCCGGCGCGGCGTGGAGGGCTCCGCGGCGCGGCTTGAGGCGTGAAGACCTGTTGCATGAATGTGATTGTTGCACCAGCATCTGCCTCAGTCCTAACCTTCTTGAGTTGAGCTCGTCGGACCCGATTGTACGCATTTTTAAGGATACGGCCCTCGTTCGCATCAGAATGCAACGGCATATATACCCTTTCTTCTCCAAAAATACTCGTGTATGTAAAAAATACCCGTGTATTATACGGGTGTTGAATTAGAAGGTTTTTGTAAGACATATTAAATTTTTTATTTTTTTAAAAAAACTAAAATAATTTAATTTTATATAAACTACTTTGGGTTTTAATTAAATTGTCAAATTATATTTGTTTAATCATAATAATTAAACACCGTACATTAAATGAAAATGTCAACTCGTCTTGAATTTTTTACTTATATCATATAAAAATATCGATATTATTTACTATTACATAAGTACAAAAATATATATCTTAAATAAATAGAAATAAGATGGTGGTATGTATATGCATAAGTGTAGAATATGTTTATTTAATATTAAACAAAATAGATTAATTTTTTTACTTAATTATATGCTTAATACATCAAGTGTCGTATCAGTCGTGCTTTACAGTTTTTTAACTTTATATGTAATTTTATAATTTATATAAATAATTATTTATTTTTATTACATTGACAACATACCAATTAGATTTGAAATATCTATCAGTTTTAAAAGAATACATACTAATTTCTATTACTTTATAATATAATTTATAGTTTTATTTGATATAATTTAATTTAGTTTGATAAATAAATTTAAATTTTATTTATAAGGATATATATTACTGTTTTGTAACATATATAAATATATATATATATATATATATAAATAGTAAAATACAAACGGACTTCATAATATCAATTCAAATGCAACACACTAATTAAGAATTTTTTTCTTGACAATATTAACCCTATTTAATGGATGTTATGGGAAACGATGAAGATGAGATATGAATGGATGTTATGGGAAACGATGAAGATGAGATATGAAGAGACACTGTGTATTAGATGGAGGGTTAAAAATGGAAAAATATGAACAAAATATCTAAAACAATATTTATTTTATCATTGATCAATTAAGCAAAAATGACAAATAATAAAATAGGAGGGAGTATATATTATTATATAATTTAATATGACACATGTTATTTGTGCGACTTATATGTGTTATATTATAATAAATTTTCTACCTTATAACATATAACTACATTAAACAAAAATATATTAATTGATAATAATTTTATTTTCTAATTATTTTTAATAAATAATTATTTTATTGTTATAAAGATAAATATAATTTATTTATTTTATATATACAATATGGATAATTTGATATATTATATATGTAAAAGCGATAAGAAATACAAAGTTATCAACTTTTTTATAAATTTTAGTATAACACATGTTACTTGTGGGACTTATATGTGTTATATTATAATAAATTTTCTACTTTATAACATATAACTACATTAAACATACATATACTAATTGATAATAATTTTATTGCTTTTTTCATGTATGTATATGGATTGGGCCTTGGGCTTGGTCACTTCGCCACCATCTTCACAATATCACATTTATATGTGACAATCGTAGTCCTACATGATGGAACAATAAATTATAAATTCAAATTTTATACACACACAAACACATATATGTTGGATTATAATATATTTTTACTATCCATATTGCTTAATATTATTTTATTTTTTAATAAATACTCTACTAACTATATTCATGTAATCTTGATTTAATATAATTTCAAAACTTGTTGAGTATAAAAATGGCTGGCTCGCACGTTTCGGAAGTAAGACAACATTAGACTTTTGGTTCGGGATAAAAATTACTTGATCCGATCCTCTCCAATTCCAAAATAAATAAGATTCTTGTATGGCGGTCAAACTAATTACACGGGTTAAGAATCCAATATCAATATTATTATATATTTTTTATTATAATATAATTTTACTATCCATATTGCTTAATATTATTTATTTTTTTAATAAATACTACAATAACTATATTCATAATCTCGATTGTTAGGATGTCAATGTTATATTATTTTTTTAATAAATTTTTCCTACATATATATAAAAATATAACTACAACGACTTAATTTGCTGAAAATGTTATATGAAATATAAATTGTGCAAAATTACATTAAATATGTCTATTTAAAATTAGTACACGACCCGTACGGTCCAAGTAACTAATAATAAATTACATTATATTCATTTCAAAATAGATGTCATTTTAAAATTTTATTCAGAAATTCGATTTGACTACAATGTGATTCAAATAATAATTACACGGGTGTTGAAATAGAAAACTTTTGTAAAAAATATTAAAATCTTTTTCTTTTTTTGAAAAAAAAAACACATATAAATTAATTTTATATAAAATATTACTTTAGGTTTTAATTAAATTGTCAAATTATATTTTTTTAATCATAATAATTAAACACCCGTACATTAAATGAAAATGTCAACACGTGTTGAATTTTTTTACTTATATCATATAAAAATATCGATATTATTTACTATTACATAAGTACAAAAATATATATCTTAAATAAATAGAAATTTGTTTTGGTATTTATAGGCTTGACATTAAAGATTTGTTATGGGATAAAAATCAAAACTGATTTATTTTACCTTTGTTGGAAAAGTCAAAGGTAAGTATAGATTTGTTTATATTATAAAATCATAAAAAGATATTAAATCTATATTGTAAAAAAAGAATCATATAATTTTATAACAATTCTATTACACTTCTTAACAGTATTTCTTTTTATAATATAATAAAATAATAATTAAATATTATATGGTGAACAACAATAAGTAAAATTGCTACTTTCTCTTATATCAAGGATAAATTTACATGCAAAAATTAAATTTTTATTAGTATAAATATTTTAGTTAGATAATATATTAATTATTTACAAGTTAGCAATGTTCTGGTTAAAAAAAACAACGCTCGTTAAAAGATGTGGAAAAAAATTTATAATAACTCTATTGTTTTTTAGACTTAACGTTGAGGTAGAAAATAGATAATAACCCTATTATTTTGTAGACTTAAACGAATAAGGCTATAAAAATAACTCACTTAATATATCTGTTCGGGCTACGTACTTCTGTAATATTATTTCCCAGCCCGAAAATAACAACCTCATAAAATACACTTTGCACCATTTGCCGACTGCAGCCACACAATACACTGCTGTTCGCCTGGCCATGGCCGCCGTGGCGCGGCTCTCCATTGTTTTAATCGACTGCCCCAATCGCAATCCGGCCGTCAAATCCCTCGGATTTTCCTCCACAGCCACCGGTACGCCGCCTCCGACACTGTACGATGCCGGAAAAGTCGAGGGTGGTCCTCCGCCGTCACCTGCTCCGCCCCAAACGGCCCATCTTCTCCCGACATCAGGTCCTTTTTTTTTTCGTTTGTTTCCTGTAATCTCCTACCGAACCTGTGAAACTAGCATTTTTAGTTATGACCGCCGTCGCCTCAATTCGAGTTAATTTTAGATGATTTTAGTTTCATATCAGTATCAATCACCTCAATTTGAGTTTCACTGAGCATTACCGGATAACAAATTGAGACAGCTTTGTTTTCAAGAGATCAATTAAATTCACATCAAAATGAGCCCGAACACTTGAAAATTGAGAATTCAGATGCATGCTTACTCTGTTTGATGAGGGAAAAATGTCCCATTAACTTGGGCAGTTGGGCATATGCTATTGATAGCGAATTTGCCGAAATCACCACTATGTAGCATCACAGTCAATGTTAATTTTAGCCTGGAAAATGCGTTGACACCTTTAGTCCATCTTATACAGTCATGTGTAATCGTACCATTTTTTCATCTATTCGTTTTTTTCAGTTCCACGGCCAAAATACGCAGTGAAGTCCTCTCTCCCTTCCGGTCCCTTGGTATGTTCTTTTACCTTGCATTTGTAGCAAGTGGGTCACTCGGAGGACTCATTGCCTTTTCCCAGCTGATCGGGGCCCTATCCAACCCATCAAGGGCGGCCCAACTACCCGAGCTCCTCAACGGGCTCGGCATAGATTTGGGGGCTGTCTCCATTTTCGCGTTTCTTTATTACAGGGACAACAATGCTAAAAATGCTCAGCTGGCCAGACTCTCGAGAGAGGAGAGCCTCTCGAGTTTCAAGCTCCGTGTGGACGAGAAGAGGATCCTTCCCCTGAGTGCTTTCAGGGGGATTGCTTTGGTTATCCTGGCGGGGCCCGCCTCGTTCATCGAGGAGTCTTTCAGATTAAGCGAACCTTTCTCTGCAGGGCTTATCGAGAGAGGGGTTCTTGTTGTGCTGCTTGCTACCGATGGGAATTTGCCTGATTTCGAGTTTCAAGAAACTGGGGAGATTGATGTGAAGAGGAAAAGGCTGTGGCAGTTGACTCCGGTGCTTGCTCCTGAATGGAACAAGTGAGTTTTGATGGTGTGTTGTTACATATAATAGCATGTTGAGGAAGAAAGTTGAAGGATATTGAATTTACCTAATTTTGTTCTTTTGCATCAACTTATAACAGGTGGTTGGATGAACAAAAGAAACTGGCTAACGTCTCTCCTGAATCTCCCAGGGTGAGTTGCCTTCGTTTGGCTCGAACGTAAATGAGAGATATTAATACATAAAAACTGCAACAACAACAAGCAACAAGTAACAAGCAGTAGCAATTCACATCATTGTAAATGCACAAAATAAAAACTGAAAAGAGTTCAATACATTAATCTAATCTTCGAAGTAAGAACTAAAATACCAATAAAAACTAAACCTGCTTCTATGTATCGGGGTTCCCTCAAGTTGACGTCTCATCGTCTCCCGCAACAATGGGTCCGACTGCATCTTGCTGGTCGCTGCCGCTTTCTTGGAAGCGGCATATGCTTTCGTTGCATCCTTTGCTGATTTCACGGCTGCATTGTACGATTCCTTGGCTAACCTCTCCGTATTCCTAGCGGCTTCTACCGCTATCTCCACTGCTGTTGTCAATTTGGCTGCATTCCCCGCAGCAGCCGCTATTTGAACTTCCTCCGCTCATTCAACCGCAACTTCTGCAGACTCCCAAGCTTCTTTGGCAGCCTCCTCCGCATCACCCGCTGCCGTCGATGAATTTGTCGTTGCCGTCAATGCAGCTTGAACCGGCTCATCCGTCTTGCCTTTAAGAGTATTAAACAACTCTTTAATTGCAACGCCGACACCCTTCATTTTTGCTTCATCCGTCTCAGCCTGCGTCTTAGCCTGCCTGATACGCTCTCGATTTGCCTCGTTTATATGCTTAAGTTACATAAGGACCGGAGTAAATGCTGCAAATATCAGTAACGCCACACTTTTGTCGTGTTTCTTATCAAATACCGTAAATACACCTGAAGCAAAAGCAGAGCTCAGGCAATTGTACAGCCCCACACTGTCAATAACGATGACCATGTTGTCTAGAAATATAAGATGAAGCGTCGCACCAAGCACAATAGCGAGCGCCCACACATCAGTCGCGAAAGCACTGACGTTGATACACAGAGTGATCAACGTCGTATCTGAAATTACCCTTCATTTGCGAGGTATTTGCACTGTGACGGAATCCAATCTCCAAGAGAAGTAACCTACCACGACCCCATAAATGAGTGTGTAAACCCAGGGTAGTGGATGTGCGATAAGAGAGCGAAAGCCGTTTGGTGGACCATCATTTTATACCAGTCTCTTGCTATAGCATTGTTTGTTGTAACTAACATGGTCTCTGAAAAACACAGGGAAGAAAGACCCAACGTCATGCATAGCCACCATGGCCACTTCAAAGGGAGAAACGGTAGCCCCTTCTCAGGGAGGGTGAAGAGAGAGACAAAGTATTGCCAGTAAGGGTGAAGAGGGGTGAAGAGAGAGACAATATATTGCATGGTGAAGAGGGGTGAAGATAGATAGAAAATATTGTCAGTCCAGAGCCATAGGAGTGTGAAGAGAGAGAGATTGAGGGTGCAGAGAGAGAGATGAGCGATTAGACGGGTGAGAGTGACAGATTGAGGGTGCAGAGAGAGAGAGACGAGCGATTAGACGGGTGAGAGTGACAAAAGAGTGACATATGTATAATTTTATGGCTTATAGTTTTGTTGTTAACAAAATATCTAAGGCCCAAAGTTGGTTCACTCGTATGTAAAGGGTAGATTTAAAAAACAAAAGTTTGCAGAGCAATATACAACATGCCTGAACCTATTTTATTTAATTCTTCATAAAAAAACAAATGTTTTCCCAACAACATTTACACTTTTGTTTGTTAAAGTCTACCCTTTCGTATTATTTTGTTTTTTACATTATATATGTACACCAGTATGATATATATTTCTTGTCTGTTTACAACACGCGTCACCCCTTTCGTACGTATTATTTTGTTTTTCACCTTATATATACATACATATTATAATACACCAATACATATATACACCAATATATATATATATATATATATATATATATATATTTCTTGTTTCTCTCTCTCGTACAACACGCCTCACATCCCCTCATTTTTATATATACTCAATCCAATTTATTTAATATATCAAAAGACAAATGTTTTCCCAAATCCATTTAAACTTTTGTTTTTTAAATCTACCCCTTTCATATGAGTGAACCAACTTTGGGCCTTAGATATTTTGTTAACAACAAAACTATAAGCCATAAATTATACATATATCACTCTCGTCACTCTCACCCGTCTAATCGCTCGTCTCTCTCTCTGCACCCTCAATCTGTCACTCTCACCCGTCTGATCGCTCGTCTCTCTTTCTGCACCCTCAATCTCTCTCTCTCTTCACCCTCCTATGGCGACTGGCAATATTTTCTATCTTCTCTTCACCCCTCTTCACCGTTACTGGTAATATCTTGTCTCTCTCTTCACCCTTACGGCAATATCTTGTCACTCTCTTCACCCTTCCTGAGGAGGGGCTATCGTTTCTCTCTTCGAAGTGGCCATGGTGGCTATGCCTGACGTTGGGTATTTCTTCTCTGTGTTATTCAGAGACCATATTATTTACAACAAACAATACTATAGCAAGAGACTGGTATAAAAATGATGGTCCACCAAACGGCTTTCGCTCTCTTATCGCGCATCCCCTACCCTGGGTTTACACACTCATTTATGGGTTTGTGGTAGGTCACTTCTCTTGAGATTGGATTCCGTCACAGTGCAAATACCTCGCAAATGGAGGGTAATTTCAGATACGGCGTTGATCACTCTGTGTATCTACGTCAGTCTTTCGCGACTGACGTGTGGGCGCTCGCTATTGTGCTTGGTGCGACGCTTCATCTGATATTTCTATACAACATGGTCATCGTTATTGACAGTGTGGGACTGTACGATTGCTTGAGCTCTACTTTCGCTTCAGGTGTATTTACTGTATCTGATAAGAAACACGACAAAAGTGTGGCGTTACTGCATTTACTCCGATCCTTATGTCACTTAAGCACATAAACGAGGCAAATCAGGAGCGTATCAGGCAAGCTGAGACGGATAAAGCAGAAAAGAAGGGTGTCGACGATGCGATTAAAGAGTTGTTTAATACTGTTAAAGGAAAGACGGATGAGCCGGTTCAAGTTGCATTGACGGCAACGGCAAATTCATCGATGGCGATGCGGAGCTTGGGAGTCTGCAGAAGTTGCGGTTGAATGGGCGGAGGAAGTTCAGATAGCGGCCGCTGCGGGGAATGCAGCCAGATTGACGGTAGCAGTGGAGAAAGCGGTAGAAGCCGCTAGGAATACGGAGAGGTTAGCAAGGGAATCGTACAATGCAACTATGAAATCAGCGAAGGATGCAACGAAAGCAGATGCCGCTTCCAAGAAAGCGGCAGCAACCAACAAGATGGAGTCGGACCCATTGTTGCGGGAGACAATGAGACGTCAACTTGAGGGAACCCCGATACGTAGAAGGCAGGTTTAGTTTTTAATTGCTGAGTTATTAATGAAGAGAGAGAACCTAATTTCTTGTATCTTTTGTTTTTGTTGTGTTGGTCCAGAGGTAACAAGATGTGTCTTTGAACTTTGAAGATTAGATCTTTGAAGATTAGATTAATGTATTGAACTCTATATTTTTCAGTTTTTATTTTGTGCATTTACAATGATGTGAATTGCTGCTGCTTGTTGTTGTTGCAGTATCGACTATAGTATTCTCCAGATTTTTCTCTCATTAATATCGACTAAAATGCTTAACAATATCACAAAAAAAAAAATATTGGGATACCATTTTTTTTACCATATGCGGGTATATTGGATCAATATATAGTATACCAATTAATTTGATTTCATACTTTATCGATAAAATACAAAAAATGATATTCAGTTTTACCACAAAAATAATTGTCCATCGTACAAAACAAAATCGAGACTCACGTTTTTTATAGATAAAAGTAAAAAAAGACCCAAAACCATTTATTAAAAAATAAATTAAATAGAAGCTGCCATTAATACAATTATTTTGGAATAATTTTATAAAAAAATTATGATTGAATAAATCAATTAAATTTACTCGACTGTGAATGTAAATTTTTATGGTCTAATTATTTTCTTAATAATACACAATTTGAGTAATTAAATTTACAAAAAATCAATAATTAAATAATATTTAAATAAAAAGTGTCATTAACATAATTTTATAGAATAGTTTTTTGCAAATTGCATAATTGATTATTGTAGTTGATATTTGAAAAAAAAATTATAAAACATAAAATAATAGAAAAAACACATGTTGTCGTATAAAAGTGTAAAAATAGAAAATACCAAAGTCGATATTATTTCAAATTTTGAAAAATTTCTTTGTATACTACATTAATAGTTTTATTTATAATTTTTCCATCCTTATCGCAACACATAATTTTCAAGTCTCTCCTACTTTTAACTCTAGATAATGGAACATAAAGTTGACCATGACTGAATACAGGATTAGGCAAGTACAATCCGACGTTAGACAATGTCTGTCCTTAACTCTTATTAATAGTCATTGCAAAATAAACCATAAGTGAGAATTGTCTTCGACAATCTCACATCAAAATGAGTCAATAACATCCACGGAATAAGTACTTTGTTTCCAATATATCTTCTCGATAGAACCTTAGCCTCAACAATGCGATCTCCAAGTTGAGTGATGACTAACCTGGTGTCATTACACAACCCATAAAATAAATAATGATTATTTATTAAAGTTATCAGGTTTTATTTCTAATTAAAAGCTAAAAACATTACAATAATGATAGACAATAAATTAGTTAAGATTTTAGGAATGTATAAATGCCAAAAAAATAAAAGAATGGTCAAGTGATAACTCACCTGGTGCCATTACACAACTCAGAAGATTGATCCATGTTTCGAAGCAGCATTACAGTAATACCAACTTTCAATTTTAAGATGTGATTAGGAACTCCAGAGCATTTTATTGCATTTAAAAAATCAGTTGTGTACACTGAATGTCGTTTTGTCGCCTTGCATGTATGAAGAACTTTATGAACTTTCTTGCTTGACTGAATGGAGTCTGACATCGAATATATAAAAAAAATCAAAAAAATATATACCGTTTGCATTTTACATAAATAAATTATTATCCTTTAATTTAATAATTAATTTATAATTATGTAAGTTGCATATATTATATATAATACAAAATTTAAAAGTAAGTCCCATAAAATATACTCACTTGAAACAATAGTTTCAATGCCTGCACGAGATAGTCCACGCTTTTCTTTCATTTTCGCCATTCTAATGTGTCTAATAAGTTATGCATTTTCATTTTGTTTAAACAGCTTGTTATCAACAAGATTGTATATGATCCCACTTTTAAAGAGAGGTCGTATGGTTTAACCCCCGAAACCACTCTTTTCAATACATATTTAAACATAACAGCTCGAGCCCTTTATTAATAATAATAAAAAAGATGTTTCTAATGAATTACCTTTTGTTTATAAATATATTAATTGATTAATAATTTTATTTTTCTAATTAATTTTAAAATAAATTATTATTGTTATAAAGATAAATATAATTTATTTCCAAGTAAGCTTCTGAAGCTTGCAAATATTTTATAAATTTAATCATTAGTGGAAATGAACTATACAATGATAAACTATTGAACTTCTATATGAATCACCATAAGAATGACATAAAATATAAAGAATAATGTACTCGCAAAATTCAAGTATTCAAATTAATTAGTTGGTTGAAAAAAATTAAGTTGTTATTATTATTATTATTATTATTATTATTATTATGATTATTATTATTATTTATGCAGTTTCAAGGGGTTTGCTATTTCACTAAACCAATTAGCTATTTAAAAAGCTGTTAAATGAGATAAAAATAAAATGAGATATTAATTTTAAAATAAAACAAAAACTGAAGAAAAAAATTTGCTATAAATTGTTTTATAAGTGTATAATTGGCATAAATTGTTAGCGTGGATTTCTAATTGATTAATATTAGTGGTAAATATTATGCGATAAATAACTTTAAAAATATTATAGTAACTAATTAATAAAAAATAATTTTCAATTTTCATAATTAAATAAAAAAAGCAAAAAAATATTATTAATTTTTTGTACATCTTTATATATATATATATATATATATGTATATATAGATATAGATAAATAAGTAAAAATAATATAAGTTGTAACGCCTTTTGAAGTTAAACCAAAAATATTTTTATTAATTGTTTTGCAAACAAATATATTTATATAGATGAAATAATTTTATCTTCCAGGAAATTTATGGCAAATTATTCTCTAAATAATTAAAAAAAATGCTATATATATTATGAATATTTTTTACACGGGTTTAAAGCAACTCAAACTTTGCCTAGTTGTGGGAATTGAAATTAATAATTTTTGGATTTATTCCTTTATTTTTATAAAATTAAAAAATTTAAAATGCCTAAACCTTTTAAATAACAACAACAATAATAATAATTGAAAGAGTTTTCACGTGTATGTGTGCATCGCAATTTTTACTATGAAATGAAACAAGCCGCTAGTGAACTCGACTCGATTTAACTCAACTCGATAGGGCTTTTTAAAATTTAAAAAGATGAACNAACAACAAATATACAATGTTCGATGGCTAACTAGCCATAAAAAAGTAGATCATTCCCATGGTGTCCTAAATAACAATCTACCAATACATAGAGCAACAGAGACTAGGCTACAGAACACTGCTCTACTCAATCCCACCCAACACATCCAAACAACATGAAGCCATATACAGCTGCCAGACAATGAGCACTGAAATACTAATAAAACACAGCTAAGAACTTGCCCAAAGCACTAACTACCACAGATGCAAACATAACAGAGAAACAAAGCCTGAGATACCTAACCAACTGCTTCCAAACTTGGACATCATCCCTGCAATGTAGCTAAAGTTCACAGAAAGCAGATTATCCTTTTGAAGATCCTCCACTGAACCTCAAAGAACCTAGTTGACCTTCAATTAGGGCCTAACCTCTCTCCATAAACTCCAGCCATTCTTTTTGAGCTATGTCCACCACATCTTTAGCTGGTCTTTGAATCTGTTGAAATACTCATTGGTTTCTCGATAGGGCTTGTTAAAATTTAAAAAGATGAGTTTTTATATAATTTTCTATAATGTTAATTTGTTAAGACTTGATGTTGACTTGTAAATATTGAACGACCGAACTCAATAATACACTGTATTAATTGACACCCCCAAAATTATGAGGTTCACTTTTGTGGAATCGAAAGGTTAAATTTTTATGTCAAACCAGTTTCAAAACTCATAAAATGGAATTCTTGGGATCTCCCAATCTGCACCTGTAGTGATGCGTCATTTGTTAATACGTAGGATAGATATGTTCTAGCCATATTCTCAAACCTTTCTGATTTTATCAGATCTTATCATTTTTTCGAAGAAATCAATATAAATTACAGCTTAAAATTTTTAAGTTTCTTAACATATTAAGTTTGTTTGAATTTTTTTTGGAAAATCCCGCCATGAAATTTTTCTATTTTTTCCACCAAATCACGCGGGCAATTGGTTGTCCAAATTTATCTAACTACAATACTTTTTAAAGTTTGAATTATTTTCATTATATTTTGTCACTGTTCTAAAAATCGGCCTAGGTGGCGCCTAGGCGCTAGGCGGTGCCCGGGCGCCTCCGATTTGTACAAATCGGCAGAAAAAATCGGCCAGGCGGCTAGGCGGCGCCATGGCGGCCCTAGGCGCTCCTAGGCGGGCGTGGCGGCCCTAGGCGCTCCTAGGCGGGCTCGGCGGCCAGGCGGTTAGGCGGCGTCTAGGCGGGCGTAGACGGACCTAGGCGCTCCTAGGCGGGCTCGGCGGTAATTTTTCAGTTTTTTTATATTTTTTTTATTTTTTTAAATATTAATTACATTATTTTGTTCTCATATTTTCTTTAATATATATTAATACTATTATTTGGACTTTGGTGTGAGAATTTATTTTAAGTTGAGATAGTTTTATTTTGTAGGTAGTTAAAATAAATAAAAAAATAAGGTATTTAATATTGATTTCTGGGCTCCGACTAGGCGCCGCCTAGGCCCCGACTAGGCGCCCTAGGCGCTGGTCGAGCGCCTAGTGGGCGCCTAGCGACTTTTAGAACATTGTATTTTGTTCATTAACAATTGTAAATCGGTTAATTGAATTTTTTTTTAAATCAAATGCAATGTAATAATATCTTCTATCATAAAAAGTTTATGAAGTGTTCGATAAGAAGTATCCAAACATGACCTATGACTTCAAGAGCTTTGTCGACTTGAGAGATCCTGAAAATGTTGACAAAATCATTCCACATCTTATCGACGGTCAATTTGAACCCCTTGTGATTTTGTTGCAAATATGTCTGGCCAAGTCTTTTCGAGATAATTAATTAATCACACCAATTGGGTAGTTTAATACTTATTTTATATTTTTTAATATTAGTTCTTAACTTTGTCGACAAATTTGATTGTCGACGGAAACGAAATTGATGCATTCAAGAGAGTCATCGTTATTTTGTCATAAATATGTGTACTTATTAAGTTAGATGAATTATAAATTTTGTTTACATGATGAGGGTCATGCTTGGACCCGAACCAACGATACATAATTTTATGAGTGGACCTCCTCAATGAGGATCGTGATAGTTCGACCTTGTCGTTTTTTATTCGAGTGTAAACAGGTATTCATGTAATTTAAAATTAATGTTGTATATTAATCTTAAAAATATGCTTAATAGACTTTATATGTACTTTCTTAGGATGACAACTTCTGGATATGTGCTACAATAGTTGGATTAATTGGTGATTGGTATTACCTCTCACGTCAAGTTTCCATAGGCTTTGGCTCCCGTAGTGGACAAGTTTACTGCTCGGCTTGTGATGAAAAGGCTGAATCAGGAACCTTCAGGTTTATATTTCAGAGTTCAATGTGTGAACATTTTGTATAATAAATTTTTTCAGTTATGATCATTTTAATTGATACAAGTATTAGAGCAGTGATGCAATTTCATCTTATGTTAGTTACCAGATTCAATTTGACGTTGTAAGCAGTCCTCGAGTACGACTTTGCTTTGTTGGGACAATTATTGTAAGGCACTAATTGGATGGGGTTGCTATAATCTCAAGTGTGTTGGTGAGGAGGTAATAAGTGCTTTATATTTAATTTAACAATTGAAATATTTTTTGTGTCTTTCGTTTAAAGCATTAACAGTTTATTTTACTATGTTATAGAGTAGTGATTTATTCAGAATTCAACACTGATCGATAAGAAGGTATTGTTCAAAGTGCAACTCAAAGTTTCAAACCACGTTAGCTTGAAGATTTCTTTGGAGCTTATTCCGTTGTTACAGTGATAGTGGATCATCTTTTGGTTGAAAACTATGGTGCTTTACCCGCCGACAGCCATCACTCGGACTTTTTGTCTAAACTTCACAGGAAGATGGAACATGAAGAGGTTAATTTCTAATATTCTATCTATTTCATTTATAATATTGTTTTATGTTAATTATTAAAGATATTTATTTGAATTTTCTTAGGGATACTCTAATGATGACGATGTTAGCACTCTGAATAAGCCGTCAAACCATGTGAATCTGTAGGACTTTTTTGGTGAGAATGTTGTTGCTAAATAAGAACAAAGTGATTGCTATGGACCCTAATCCATGTGTGGAAAATCTTATATTAGCTAGGAAAGCTTATATTAGTTAGGTGATAAATTTTATTTGTCTTGGAAAAAGAAAGGGATACATGCAACTACTGTTAGAATAAATTTTCTTTCTGTCAATTGATTATTACAAATAAATTGAAGTTCTAAACACATTATATTGGTTTTATGATTTTATTTTTGTCTAATGGACTACTTCAATAACTATTTGAGCAAAAAAAAAAAGGAAAAAGAAAAGAAAAGAAAAAGTGTAACTTATTGAATGAATTGTTTGATTAATTATATAATAACTCTATCCGCAACTAAATAGTTCTAATTAATAAGAAAAGGATTTAATGATTCAGAAATTCTAGGGCGCCCATACGGGCGCCATAAGTCATGCCACAATCTTATGTGTCAATATGAGGTGGCTTTATTAATTTTAATTATTAATTCCAACATGGCATATATGGGGTGGCTTTAAACAAGATTTTCCACACCAAAATCAATTCATAAACCATTCGAAATTAAGATAGCTATTGTTTGTAATTAAACCCCTAATATATATATATATAGGGATTGGTTCCAATGCATCCACTTATTTAAAGTGTGGACGTGAGACTCATTCCTAGCCACAAGATTTGGTACATCATGTGGGGCCAAGATTTACGTTTTTCTTTTTATTATTTTAATTATTTAAATATTATTTTGATCCGTTGACTCCGGCGTTGACCGTTGACTTCTGGCAAAATTGTTGACTTCCGGCGTTGACCGTTGACTTCCGGCGTTGACTGTTGACAATTAACCTTCCAACTAGGTTAGTTTTCTGTAGTTGCTAGGTTAGTTGTATGTAGTCGCTAGATTAATACTCTGTAGTTGCTAGGTTTTTTTTTTTTTTTAAACAACGGCCCAGAAGGGCGGGGGATTAGGCTAGATCCCCAACCTGTGCATAGATCGAGACCCCAAAACTAGGGCCCAAAATATCAACATACTACAGTGTACAAAGTCTCTCAAGCAAAACAGAAACAACAAAAGAAAACCAAAAAAGAAAAAATAATACAAAGTCTGTCATCGGGCTAACAGGTGCCCTGAAGCAAAGGTCTAAAGAAAGCAATCAGCCTAATCTACTGAAAGCGGAAAGATGGATATCCAAGCTGGTCCATCCGTACAAGCGTGCGAAGTCGGGAGTCTGGTGTGGTGGCGCCAAGGCTGGCAAGGTAGTCCGCAGGTCTGTTCCCCTCACGGAAAATGTGCGTGATCCTGTGGTGGACAGACCGGAGTAGAGCTCTAATACGCGGGTGCTGAATCTGCCACGAGCCCTGGTGGCCCGAAGTCAGGAGGGTGGCGACAGCCGCAGCGTCTAGCTCGATCCAAATAGGGCTAGAGAGGTGGACAGCAATCTGAAGGCCGATCAGTAATGCATGAATCTCTGCATCATAGCTCGATGAGGCATGAAGGGGCGCGTGGAAGGCGGTGATGAGGGCGCCGCTGTGGTCCCGGATCAAGCCTCCTCCTCCGGCAACTCCGGTGTGATGATCAAAGGAGCTATCAGTGTTCAGCTTAACCCACGGAGAGTCAGGTCGAAACCAAACAACAGCTCTGGCCCGAGGAGGCCAAACAGGCGGTGGGGGGGCCACCATGTAACGGTGTGGCGGCGTGCAACCTGTCCAGTCTCGGCCGTGAGCCTGCCCAATGCTATGAGGAGTGAGATGTGTCTCTCTCCTGCAAAACAATGTGAGAAAACAAAAAAGTAATATCCCTATGCTTCGCACTATTCCTCTCTGTCCAAGTGAACCAAAGGATCAGACAAGGAATGAGGAAGCCCACGTGGGTTAGTAGTTGCTAGGTTAGTTCTCTGTAGTTGCTAGGTTAGTCGTTGCTAGGTTAGTTGTATGTAGTTGCTAGGTTAGTTGTATGTAGTTACTAGGTTAGTTCTCTGTAGTTGCTAGGTTAGGTCTCTGTAGTTGCTAAGTTAGTTCTTTGTAATTGATAGGTTAGTTCTCTGTAATTGCTAGGTTACTAGTTGCTAAGTTAGTTCTCTGTAGTTGCTAGGTTAGTTCTCTGTAGTTGCTAGGTTAGTTCTCAATAGTTTCTAAGTTAGTTCTCCGTAGTTGCTAAGTTAGTAGTTGCTAGGTTAGTTTTTTGTAGTTGCTAGGTTAGTAGTAGCTAGGTTAGTTATCTGTAGTTACAAGATTAGTTCTCTGTAGTTGCTAGGTTAGTCGTCTGTAGTTGCTAAGAGTTGGACACATTTTAAGAGTTGGACGCATTTTAAGACCTGGGCGCATTTGATCTGCCCCCTATATATATATAATTGTTGGCTCATGAGCATTTAATAAAACCTATTAAATTATACCTATGTGGCAATATAATTTTTCCCTCCAAAAATCGTTACTTTTTATTTATTTAATTTCTCATTTAATTATTAGATAATCAACACAATAATCACTTTAAAATTACAAAAATCATTTTAAACTTTTGATTTACTTACAGCTGACCATATAATGTGTTGACTATTTAAATTGATTAGATGCCATTGTTGTGGTTACATTTAAATTAACTTATTTTGGAAAATAAAAAACTTATTTGAAATTCCTAAATAAAAATAAATAATTCACAAAAAAAGTACATACAAAAATATACATTACATCCAATATGATAAACGCAATTTAAAAGAATAAATATTCCAGCTTCTTTAATTGTAAATTTGGTCTGCAAAAAAGTGTAAGAAAAATCATTAGTCATTATATGCATACAGATAACTCATAATACTTCATTTATATCTGTGCATTTGCACAGGTCGAATACTAGTATTAACAATAGAACAAAACACACCATAACTACAAAACCAGATTCAAGGGAATTTATGCTAACCTACAAACACGTCGTAATGCACACTTCAAAGTATATAATGAGCGAAGGACTGTAGGAGCATACAGTAATAAGCACACGCATTTGCACGGCTATGGAGGATTGACGGAAAGGGCGGATGCGCTGGAGAAAAATATAAACTTGACCAGAAAGGGGAAAACTCTCGTCTGCTAGTTCCGCTCAATTTGGGGAAAGGAAACTTGATTTCTTCTTTAATCGGATTTGCGGAAGATGATTTGATGAAAGAACGAAGGGATTCTTGGGGAATTGTTGCTGCTTACTGTCTGCGATGGATGTTGGGGTTTTTTGCTCTTTAATGGCGTGAAAAGATGGGGCTGGAACTCCCAAAATTCATACTCAAATATGCATGGCATTATTTGATTTTTAATCAAATAAATGGGAACCTTAATTACATATATATGTGGACGAAGGGTTGCAGGTGATACTAGGGAAACGGCAGGTTGCAGGTGGATTTGGGGAAGAAGCATTTTTTAATTGATTTTGGTACACAAAATATTGTTTAAAAGCTACCTCATATAAGCCATTTTATAATTGGTAATTAAAATTAATAAAGCCACCTCATATTGACACATAAGATTGTGGCTGACTTATGGCACCCGTATGGGCGCCATAGATATTCTGGTGTTCATAATATTAAGGTTAATAATTTTATAGTTTATGATCCATTTTTCATAACTAAATAAATAATAAAATTAATCAAGCTTGATCAAATAAAGTCGAGCTATGTTTTCATTAAAATAAGGGGGCGCTACATAAAGTAAAATGAATGCTTCGATCTCTGTCGTATGTATTATATGCTTTATTTTTTTATGTGATTGCCGTTTGTGAATGGTCGAGTGATATTTGGACCCTTTAAGTATTTTATACGAATTGAAATGCTTATTTATTTTCATTCCCTTGTGATGGCAATGGTATAAATTTGTGTGGGCGCTCGAACCCCTTGGATTTTCAGTGATTGCAAGGGTATGCGTACTGACTTAACTTGTCTAGCGACTTTAAGTTAGCCGTATTTGCGATTCTTTGTCATATTGGAACGACTCGAAAGAATAAACAATATCTATGATTTGTTTTCTGGTTGGATGGTTTGGCATCCTTTTTTGGTTATAACTCAGTTCGGGTTGCGTGGTACCCAATCTCTGATATTATGCTCTTCGGGCTAGCAGAGTTTGGATGAGTTGTGCTCTTTGGACGAGCTGAATTAAATACGAGCCTGAGTGGCTTGATCATGTGATGTGGCACCCTTAATTGTTTTTTTTTTCCTCCTTTTAATGATACCATCCTGGTAAGGTAATATGGCACCTGGCCTTCGGCTGTTGACTTTGCAATTTGGAATGAATTTTCAGGTCATTTTGTTTGGTGTCGTTTTTGGCCTGATGCCATTTTTAGCCTGACCGAGTAATCTTCGTACTCAGTTTTTGCACCCTAGTATTTAGTTTATAACGGTGTTTCGGCCTGGTGGCTTGGAGTCCATTAGTGATGTAGCATCACGGCCTTTACACTTTTCGGTGTTTTTACAATGCTCGGGGACCGACCTCTTTTGACATTTGCCCCTCGCGATTAGTCCGGGCGAGCCGGGTGGTGAAATTCTGTTGTTTGCATGGACTTGATTGTGCGTTTTCGCCATAGCTATTACTTGGATGGTTGGTCGGTCCCTCCCCCATTTCTCTTATGTCGGCCCCAAGAACCCCTTTGTCAGTCCTCAGGTCAATCGTGGTTACTTCATTGTGAGCTCGAGCCCGCCCATGATCCGACCGTGGGGTTGACATGTGTTTTTTGGTGGTTATATGCTGTTGTGAGAAGGATAGAAATTCTTGGTAGGTACGGGGCTTATTTTGGTACAGCGTCTCGCGGCATATGGAGTTCGGTCTTAAGCCTGATTGCGCAGATACTAGTATCGTCTCTTGTTGACAAGGCTCCATATCTCGCATTCTTTCGTTGAAACAAGCAATGTAACTCTTCAGGCTCTCTTCTGGTCCCTCAAATGCTGTCAGCTTTGAATAGAGCTAGAGTGTAACGGGCGGTACCATCTCTGGACTTTGGACCCCAGAGTTAATGGGAATACTCTGCATCTTTGGCGTCTCCTACTTTATGCAGGTCCATCCGAGAATTGTGATGACCGAGGTGGGCATCTGGATCTGTTCCGCTATCATATTGCTCGACCTAAGGTATCTTTACTTTCTTCGGCATGGGGTAAAGCAGGATTTCAGACGATAATGATGGTGTGCCAACCCACCCCTGCTGGGATTCGAGTTTGGCGATTTTTTCTTTTTGGTTGCGCCAACTCCCCGAGGTCGTGCTTCTCAACCCTAGTGTTTCGATCTTTCCGCCACCCAAGGCGAGAGAGGACCGGAGGAGCGGCCGTCCTAGCCCGAAGACATGCGGATGACCTACTCTCCTCAGCTTCCCTCGTCCAGGCTCGATCAATCGTTTCCCATCGCGGTTCCATCGTGTCGTCAGGTAACTGGGTTGCCGCTTTCAATTGGGTTGGTGTTTCTTTTCTCTGACGCCTTGGGTACATTTGGTGCCGGAGTCTTTGTGGTCTTTTCTGCTACTGTCTTATCCCTGGGTTTCTCCGGCACTTGGAATATGTTTTGCGCCAAGGGTCTTAGCTGCTACCGCCGCGCCTTTGAGTTTCTTCGGCGTCTTGAATATGCTTAGCGCTGGAGTCTTCATATTCGTCGCTACTGAGGTCTTGTGAAGTTGGCTTCCTTTGTCGGACGTCGTTTTTCAACAGTTCTTGGGAAAGAGAGAAAAAGTTTTGGAGTGGTGTTCACAAGTCGAAAATCAACTCCAAACAAATTATGAAGCCCTTCCTCTAGCACCAAACTGTTGATAAAAAGATTTGATCAACGAGTTAAAAGAGTTTACAAATATTTAATTGCCATTGGATAGGCTAAATTTATACATTTTTGTGAAGAAATCTCATAGAAACGGGAGGGGAAGTGAGATGCCAGTATAGTGGTACAACGATAGATCATGTCGGTTAGTGTTACTTTTTAGCTCGGATATGCATATAATATGGTCTTAAATGTAAGGATATTTGTCTCTTCCATTACCAGAATTCCTCTATTTTTCTTAGATCTAATACATGGGTATATATAGTTATTGTACCCCGAAAACTGTTTATCAGGCCGTATAGTGCGCATTTAATTGAATGGACAAAGACATTTAATGCGTCGTGCTATTCTAGGAGCCTAAGACTTGCAGACCGACAGATTAGCCGGTAGAGATGTACTTTGTCATCATTAGACTGCAAGTGACCTTTCTAGTATAGTATTGCTTTCTGTTCGTCCTGTTCGTCCAACTCTGGTTAAAGTCTCTGTCTTGAATTTGGCCTCGTTGCCTCTTTAGTCACGGCTCTTCTCGGTTGGTTGACCGGTCTGGGAATCCAGCTCGGTTCATTGGGTGCGAACTGTTTTCATCTCTCTTGTGGGCTAGTTTCTTCAACTTGGGGGTCAACATATATATAATATGAATGTCAAATCAAAAATTATTAAAAGATATTTTATATATCCTGTATGAAAAATAATATACAAATAAAAAAAGTTATAAAATTTGAAAATAAGAAAAAGAAATCTTTGTAATAATTTATGTATCAATTAAATAAGAAAAAAAAATATAATTTATGGTAATGTAGGAAAAAAAACGTAAACTAGTTTATGATAACTAACTGTAAAAGAAAATAAGGAAAACAATCAATCATTGATTTAATATGAATAATATAGACATTAAATGAAATACAAGACTGGTTATTTTTATACAAAAAATATTGATTTATATTAAAGTCTGATTTCGAAGCATGATTTTTACCATATAATTTATATAAAAAAAATATTGATTTACATTAAAGTCTGATTCTAAAGCATGATTTTTTACCATATAAGATTTCAAAACGTAAAAGTATCTCACTTAAGTTGAACGTATTTGAGTAATTATATATGTAAGAGTGATAGGAGGGCGATGTAATAACATTAACTGGAATAGTATTAGGTCCCGCAGCCCACGACAATAGATCGGCGGTCGGACATAACATGTGCTGCTTCAAACAGCACTAGTGTTAGCATTGCATTGAACGGCAACTAGAGATTGACAAATCAATCGAAGCGGAGGAGCGATTGTGCTATGGCTTCGGTTTCTTTCGCCGGATTTTCCAACAATTTGATTCCTGGAAAATTGAAGTCCGGAGCTTCTCGCGAATTTCACAAACGTCCTAGGGTTCGTCCAATCAGAGCCGCTTCTCGGCTGAGCGCGGCGGCGAAGACCACGATTCCACCTCTCACAGCCCAAAAAAACGCATCTCCCTGGTTGATGCTGCCCCCCGTGTTCGAAGGCGGCCCCAACTCTGGCCCCCCCATGTCTTACAAGCTGTACAGCTTGTCGGAGGACAGAGTCCTGTCCGTCGGCGCTAAAGACGGCGACCGCATGGACGTTGTGGGCTCCTCTCACGGCTGGCTTGCCCTGCTCGACCCCAACACCCGCGATCTGTTCCTCTACAACCCTATCTCGGGCCGCCACATAAACCTCCCCCAAATTCACTTTCCCCGCACGGGCTCCCGCCGCTTCCGTGTCAACCAGACGCACGTGGATAGGCTAATCCTATCGTGCTCCCCTGACGAGGACGAACAAAATTGTCGGGCCATAATTATCTACGGTTGGCTCAATTCGATGGCTTTCTGCTGCCCCGGGTCCAGCCAAGAATGGACCCGCATTCACCCCTTGGATGATGACGTGGCGGGGTTCCAGTACAGGAATTGCGTCTACTCCACAGAACATAATCTCTTATTTGCCCTCACCTGGTCTTATGACTTAATCTCTTGTGACCTTACGGACCCTCTTTCCCCCAAGGTCAGTAAAATAGCCCATAAATTTGTCGATAATCGGAGAATGGATTTCCCAGTGAACCTGACGTGTGAGCCCGTGGAGCATCTGGTGGCTGCAGGGCAGGATCTCCTGCTCGTGACTCAGTACGTGCTGCAGAGTGTGGGCCCGGACGGTTTGTACATTGACTCCAATGATGACCCAACTGGCTCCATCTACGAACAAGGGCTTCCAGATTTGACTGTTGATTTTGATGTTGACAGATATGATCCTGCCAGCGGGGATTTTAAGCGCGTGGAGGATTTGTCTCTTGGTGGGTGGAGTCTTTTTGTTGGCCGCTGTAGCAATGCAGTTGCTTTGCAACCAGCGGACGAGTGCTCGGTCAAGCCTGGGTCAATTTACTTCACTGATGTTTTTGGGGATCTCAATTGTGGCCGTGATATTGGCGTTTTTAATTATGAGAAAAAGATGGTGTCTCCGTGCAACTATCCATTTGATTATGCTCACAGCTTCGAAAAGATTTTGCGGGCACCTATGTGGTTCTTCCCAACTCCTACTTGATTTTTGACTTATGTAGTTTATCTATACCTAACATAGGTGCCTTCCCAACTCTCACCTGATCTGACTTGGGGGAAACTTCTCCGACGGCAGTAGATCCGACAACACCCATCACCGAAAATAAGTGAAGCAGCCAGACAATAGAATAACGAAAACAAAGGTAAAAGGATTTACAAAAAATGGGGTGGGTGGGGGGTGGGGGCAGGGGTGTTTAGGATTTTGTTGTCTAAGTTGCCGGAATCCTGTTGCCGGAATAGGAGAGGAAAAGGCACAGGTTAATTTTGGGTTTTGTTGGATCTTATGTGTATGTAAGAAATGGTAGCTTAAGCCCATAAACCCTAATTTGTTCAAATTGCTGCTGCTCGCCATGGCGCACGCCTCGCCTTTGGTCGCCAAACATAAGGCGCCACGTGTGGATTATGCGTACAGGTGTATGAAATTTTGCGGAGGCTATTAAAGAGGTTCCATTGGATTGTTCAGGGCTATATCATAGATGGCGAAAACCGGTCAAAGGAGTAAGCTAGAGACTAAGGAGAGGTAGGAACTTCCTTTTAGTTGTCATTTTAATGTTTGATGAAAATTCTCTACAGAGGTAGTACTTTGATTCTATTCAGTGGGATTTTTTTTCTCTTTAGTTGCTTAAGCCTAAATATACGACAGAGTTGTCATGTCAACTGTCCTGTATAACTGTCCTTTGATTAAGCTTTGTCAAGTTTGCTCAAGAAAGATTGTTTCCAGGTTTATTTATGCTTGTTACAACTCCTGGATGACTTTTAGATCACTTTAAGAATACCTCATCATTTATGCATACAAATCTTCACTGGATAGTGTTTGATGAGCCTGATAGGTATTTCCATGTTCGTCTTGCCCAAACTTTCTAAATCAGCAACTTTTAGGGTCTCACGTGTGCTTGTTCATTTGGTAGGATTCTATAACTAGGGTATTGGAAAGACAAAGAAGAGATACTCAACTGTTTGGGCTCAAAAAACATAATTCTGTCAGAAAGGGCATCGCATCTGTGAGCCCTGCAGTCCAGAAGCAGAATTTGTTACTATCAGCTACTCTGAACGAAAAAGTAAATTATATTTGCTAATCTGAGTTTGGAAAATCCAGTAATTACAGTTGATTATGTACTTACAGTTTTGGTCATTTGTTATAAACATTCTATTAGGATATCTAACAGGTTGTGGTACTCTTTTCAACTTGTGATGCCCTAGATTTTTGTTACACCCTACTAAGTGAATTCCAATGGTCGACATCGCAATCTGAAACAGAACTAAGACAAATATTCTTGAGATGCAAAACTTTGCGTCTATATGCATGAATCGTGAAAATCGAAATAATAATAAAAAAAAAAAACATTCCAGATGTTCAAACAGGAGAAATCAGCCCTTCTGTTATATCTTTTTGGGGTGTGGTGGTTATTTCTTAGTTTTTCCCCTCTTTTTTCCTCTCTCCTCCTAAGAATTTTGTACTAACAGTTCCATTTCTCATTTCTTTACCAGCCAAAGATGACAAAATTAGTCAAGGATGCCTTTATCTCATGGTTCTGTGTGTACATTGCCCACTATCATGAGTTAAAACAGATTTTCATGGTGAGGAAATTCCATCTGGGCCACGTGACCAAAAGCTTTGCATTGAAACTAAATTTGCAACATGCTAATGTCACATAGTTTGAAAGAACAACCTTCGTTGGTTAATAAATCCATCCAAAAGAAAATAAAGACGAGGAAAAGGGATGAGAGGCAGAAAGTCCAACCGAACAAGAGGAGGGTCATCAGTAAACCTTGATTCCTGCAAATTTGACTAGTCTCGAAGCTCTAATCAGTGTTGGCTTCTTTCCAAGTACGATAGAAGTCAACAAGCTTCCTTCAAAAGTCCTCAGCTGATAAAAATTATAGAACTTTAAATGAACAAGATGTGGTGGAAGACGAGAATTACGACAAAAATCTTAGCTAGCGAATCTTAGACTCAAGTGTACAACTCACAGAAATATTATGCAGAAATGAAGCTTTGCTAAAAGAAAATGTGGATTTTTATTTTATTTATTTTTTCTTAGCCTATATTTTGTATTACGCGGCATGTCTTCAGATATTACTAGATATGCACTTTGTGTGCGCGAAATATATTATTGTTGCCATATCTTTGTAATTTTTTTCACAGAAGGTTCAAGCATTCTGGTGAAAAGGAAAGCCAAAAGTGAAGAGACTAGTGACGACCTTGTTCCTCCTCCTTTCCCAGGTAAATCAAGTTAGAGATGGTTCTATTATTAAGGTACTAATAATAAATAAATAAATAATAAAAAAAAACCCAGAAGGTGGGTGCCCTCATTATTATTATTATTATTATTATTTATTTTTTTTAATAGATGGTGTTGGATGAGGGAGAAAACACGGCAAAGAAGAAGGGAAAAATAAGAGACGGAAAAGAAGAGAAGGAAAAGGGAGAAGAAAAGAGATAATAAAAAAAAAATATTAGTGAGGAAAATTGTCATGTAGATAATTTTATGTGCTCAATTCTCTATTCCAATCTAGTTTGCCGGAGCTCATAAATTTGGTGTGCTACAAATTTAGAGACGTTTGCCGTTGTATCTTTGGGGAAATTACGCCTGAACCGTTAGCAGCCATATTCATATATGTGCAATTTAATTCAACAATGTTTAAGATTTTAGCATTTTTATCATCTCATATTTATTTCAGATTGTATCGTGTTGCCATGTCAATTTTTCTATAGTCTGCATGCCTAGAGTCATCATTTGAGGTGAGTTGTTCACGAATAAAACTCAATCCGGCTCATGCAAGCTCAACTTCGTTTGTTGGTTTACATAAACGAGTTGCTCGAGCAGCTAATTGAGCTTATTTGTTAAATGAACCGAGGTAAATTTGTTTGCGCAATTAAATTTGTCTGCGAACAAATAATTTTCTGTGTTGGGTTGATTAAACAAGTTGAACCTAGCCGATTATTCACGAGTTTACAATGATCTCAATGTGAGTCATTTGTTCGTTTATTTAATAAACAAGCTAACTAGAGATGGCTTGTTATTAAACAAGGAGAAATGAGAAATGTTATAGGTACATAATATTGACATAGAGGTGTACATAACACTCACATTGAGTGGGATCTACTAAAAATAAAAAAAAATCAAGTTGATCCTACCCCATGTAAGTGTTATGTACACTTCTATGTATATTTATTATGTATTTGTAGCATTTTGTTTAGACAAGAACGTCGTTCGAATGTAAGAGTTCAAATATAACGTACTCGGCTTTCACACTTGAATAACACTTACGCCTAATCATTTCCGATTGTGCGGTGTCACTCACGTAAATTAATTCTGAGTGATCTTTTCATTAAAAATAATTGACAACTTCTTATTTTCTATTGCTTTCACTCACGAGAAAATGAGATATCTATCAACATCGCCAAATAGACCAACTACAGAAAGTCTATCCAGTCAACCTAGAGCACAGGACAAGTGGAGGAAGCTGAAGCCATGTGTCAACTGGGCGTTCATAGATATGAAACCCTGTGGTGACGATTGGTCAACGTAAGCTCCACAGTCGCCCCTGAAGTCGGGCTCAAACTACGGGCCCCATCTTGGACGTGTTCAGTTTTATGAAGTGGGCCTCATCCCTATTAAATTTGCAGGCCCTGCACTCGTGACTGATTTCGCACTTCCAGGCCCACTTTTGGCTTTATCTTAACTCACAATGTAATGCCTACCTTTTCAGTACATCTCATTTTCCATCTCCTAAAATTTTCGAGATCTTCTCTTCCAATAAGGTTACACACGTATAATTTTAGTACTATTTATAGGCATATCTTAATTCTGTTACCCAATTTGTTTCACATTCAATATTGATTTTGGTCTCCACTTACTGAAAAAATCATATTTACATTCAAGATACTAAGAAGAAAACATCATAATTTCACATAATCAGACGCCACGGGCTTGTAATTAAGTGACACATTACAAATTCCACAATTTATATGTTTCTTCTTTAAATTTATGATGAGACATTCCAATTACTTTAGAAGAATATATTGATTACTTGTGCTAAGTAGCATTGAATTTACCAATCCATAAAAATTTGGACACAGATTGGTGACAATCAATTTAATAATTACATAAATGTTGAGATTATATATTTTTAATCAGAATTGATCTTCTTTGTGTGTATAAGTGCGTGTATGTCAGCTAGCATCTTCCCACATGGAGAACAATAATAGCACATTGATAGGAAATTGCCCAGGAACGAGGATAAATTTAACAGCTAATGGTTCTGCACAATGTCGGTTTTGATCCATGTAAGATTCTAGTTTGTCTTTAAAAAACGGAGTCTGACATTAATTTGAGTATATATTTATTTATTTATTTATTTAACAATATATATTGAACAATCATTTGATATATTTATAATTAAAGAAAAATGAATACTTTCTACATAGACGAGACAATTTAGTTCAATGAGGTGTTCTACATCAAATAAACCAAAAAAGTATATGCGTATGCTAAATCAAAACATTTTTTTATTTAGTTCATCGTGACTGGGTAATTAATCATACACAACTTCTTTAATTTATTATACTTAGTTAATAGATCGAGACAAGTTTTGATTTTCCATTTTATTTTTATTTTTTACTCAAAGGGATGAGATTTGGTGTGAGCCGTAAAAATAATCGACTGTTGTTTTGTCTGTATCAAAGTTTTGTTTTACCTTGCTTTCTGGTATAGTAATAAAAAAAGTTGGGTTCCTTGTTTTATCTTTTGTATTATTTAGTTGGCGCACTTGGTGGATATGAATAAAATATAAGCCGCCAAAGGGACACAAACTATACCATTACTAAAATAAAATTGCGATATGAACAAACTATACTATTAATTTGAGTGGAGTCGAGTAGTTTATCTAATGGTTGAAATTATCGACAAAAAAAAAAAAAAATTTAAAAAAAATTGTAATTTCAATGGAACTTACAATAATTACCTGTAATTCATATGGTTG